AATTTCTGAACTCCCTACTCCTACTACAAAGAGTGAAATCCTCTTTCCTGGGACTTGCAGGGTATCTCCATGTGTGGATTTCTAACTTTGGCGTGCTAGCAAACCCGCTTTATGAAGCAGCCAAAGGGGATCCTGCCATTCCTTAAGATCCCACAAAGCCCATTCATTCTCCCTTCCAGTGATTAAAAGCCACTCTCCTCACAGTCCCAGCTCTATCCCTCCCAAACCTATCTCATCCTTTTATCCTACATGTCACCACAACCCAAGGATTAGCAGACAGGGTTTTGGGACAAGAAGCAGGAGATATTTTCTCCCCAGTTGCATACCTCTCAAGACTAGACACCACAGCTTGGGTATAGGTCCCCTGTTTATGGGCCTTGGTGGCAGCCTCCCTTTTAGCACAAGAAAACTCTAAATTAACTTTTGGACAACAAGCAGTCATTTGTTCCCCTCATCATCTCCAAGACCTTATCAGCCACAAGGCCATGTCAGTTCTCTCCCCCTCCCACTTACAATTAATTCACCTTACTTTCATTGAAAACTCTCAGTTTTCTTTCAAAACTTGCCCTCCTTTAAATCCAGCTACCCTACTTCCAAACACTCACAACCATTTTAGAACATAATTGCACAGAGGCTTTAGACCTTTTTCTCAATCCCTTTCCACACATTTCCCCACATCCCATTATGCGGCCCAAACATACATGGTTCAGAGATGGGACCACCCCCCGGGTGGGTTATGCATAGTAAATCTAACACAGCTATTGAGGCTGCCCCCCTCCCCCCTAACACCACTTCCCAACAGGCAGAACTCATTGCCCTCACCCACACTCTCACTCTGGCAAGTAACAAACGAGTCAATATATACACTGACTCTAAGGATGCTTATCACATCCTACACTCCTGCCACAGCCATATGGAAGGAGAGAGGATACATGACCACTCAGGGAGGACCCATAAAATACAGACATCTTATCAAGATACTTCTTGAGGCTGCACAACTCCCAAAGGAGGTTGGGGTTATACACTGCAGAGGACACCATACCTCCAACGACCCCATAACCCAGGGAAACAAACCGGTGGATCTAACTGCAAAACAGGCTGCTCAGTCACCAGGCCCCCACTCTTCCTCTTCTGCTCAGGTCCTTCTCATGGCTCCCACACCCTTACCCCAATACACACCCCAAGAAATACAACATCTCCAACAGTTGGGGGCACAGAGAAAGGACAACTGGTATACTCTCTCTGGTCACTATGCCTTTCCTACCACACAAGCTGAAGAAATCCTCTTAGATTTCAACAATTCAGTTTATGTAGACTATGAACCTCTACTAAGCCTTCTTCGGCTTTTATATTACTCTCCCCACATGGCCAAGTTACTAAAAAAAATCACTCAAAACTGTCCTTTGTGTACTCATTTCTTCAATCAAGGTGGCCTCCAAGTCCAGTCCTTTCCCACGCACCAGACCAGAGGGTACACTCCTGGCCAGGACTGGCAAATTGACTTTACTCACATGCCTCCCCAGAAGAAAACACGTTATCTTCTTACTTTAGTAGACACCTTCTCTGGTTGGATTGAGGCCTTTTCCTCCACCTCAGAGGATGCAGCATCGATAACACGTGCTTTCACCTCAGAAATCATCCCTTGTTTTGGTTGGCCCACCAGCCTCCAGTGTGATAACAGCCCGGCATTTGTTTCCCAGATTACACGACTCACCGTGCAGGCCTTACCTATCAAATGGAACCTACACATACCATATTGACCCCAATCATTGGGTAAAATAGAGAAGCTAATCACCTGATTAAAACACACCTCACCAAGATGTCCATGGAGCTTCACCTCCCCTGGACACAACTTCTCCCACTACCACTCACTCACCTGCGAGCTGCCCCCCACAAGCCCACAGGCCTCAGCCCCTTTGAGATTATGTACGGCAGGCCCTTCACCCTCACACCTCTCCCTTCCAGCTCATCGCCTTTAGGCCAGTATCTCCCTACTCTTTCACTCATTAGGGATCTTCTTCTGGAACAGGCCAACCATCTATTACCTAATCCTTTACCCACCACCCCCTCAGATTTAAAACTGAGCCCAGGACAGCAAGTGTATATTAAAACCCAAATCCCCAAACCCCTCTCGCCATGTTGGGAAGGGCCTTATACAGTACCTCTCATCACCCTGACAGCAGTGAAAGTACTAAGAAAGACCCCTTGGTATCACTTATCCTTGGTAAAACTAGCACCTGAGACTTTACCCAAAGATTCTGTTAACACCAAGCCAGAGGTGTCCCTCTGCTCAACCTCCAACCCAACATTTCCTTACACTTTGTCCATTTCAGGACCCACAAGGTTAAAAATCTCCAGGACCTCCGCTCTTCCCCCAATCCCAGAAGGATGATCTTCCCCCCTGGCGATTATCTTCCCAGTCTTCCAGGCCCGTTAAACGTCCTTCCTCCAAGATTGGACCTGGCACTTCTGGTACTGAAGATATCCTTGAGTGGATAACCGAATTAGCCTGGCAAGGGGTCCTCTGCGACTACACTCCAGATGAGGTTCTTCTCTACTTTTTCTTTTTATTATGCACCCTTTTTCTCTCCTAACCCAATTAGCCTTTTTCTTTCTCCTACTCCCTTCTGTACCATCTACACATGCTACCTCCTATACACGATGTGAAACCACGGTAATGGTTGCAGGATCTGGGTGGATTATGGGGTCACAGGTGTTAGCTAGGCTTAGGGGGGAGCCCCCCTAAAGATATTCTCAGCCCTAACACATGCTCCCACTGTGTGTTATGACCAGTCAGATGCCATTAGCTGTACACACAGCAAACAAACATCCTGGCAGAAGTAGTTCTACAAAATAGACGGGGCCTAGACCTGCTACCAGCAGAGAAGGGAAGGTTTTGTCTATTCCTAGGGGAGGAATGCTGCTTTTACACACACAAATCCAGCAACCAGATGGCTAATAAGAGCCAGGCTGCAGCAGACTCCTGGGACAATTGGAGTGGGCTCTGGAAATGGACGCCCCGGCTGGTACTGTTACCAGGACTCTTAACCATGACAGCCTTCTTCTTCTTGGTCCCTGCCTCTTTTGGTGTTTCTCTAATTTCTTACAGGAAAGCATGCCAAAAGGTCACTGAACTCTCCACGGGAAGAGGAGGATACCGGCCTCTCCAGGTCAGAGACCCGGAAGAACACGGCTTCCCCCCAGGAAACCAACAGCATGCTTTTGTTTAGCCTGATTTTTCCACCTGATGTTCCTCTCCTCCCACCTCCAGCAGGAAGTAGCTTCAGAAGAATGAGACTTCTGCCCTTTGCCCCTTTTTCTATACTTAAAAGGCAGGAATAATAGATCTGCAACATAACCAGTGCCATTTTAGACAAGCACAAGTACAAAATAGTGCCGCCCACCTCCTCCTCTCCCTGCCTTCTCTTTTACAAGGAGCCCCATGGTTTCAGAGAAAATGAAACTTTTGGCATTTCCACATGCACAGAACTCTCCGTTCCCATGGCCTGACTCAATCCCCACCCGGGAATTACATCACCCAGCTCTTGGTGCCAACACACCAGTATAAGCTCCCACCGCCCTAGGTTAGCTGTGTCCTCCACTGTGAGCACAGCCCGGCAGATTTCTTACTTTAATAAAGCTTGACCAGTCCCCGGCATTTCGGCTCAATTTCTTTCAGTGGATGCTGAGACAATTTTGCTTTGCTTATCACCTCTTCTACATTGCTAAAGTGGTGTGGCAAAATGGAAGTTTTCTTGAATGTCCTGAACATTAACGACCTTAACTTTCCCTTACTGCATTGNAAATGGAAGTTTTCTTGAATGTCCTGAACATTAACGACCTTAACTTTCCCTTACTGCATTGACTTGATAGCTGTATAATCTTGAAAAAGTTATGTAACTTGTCTCAAACTCAGTTTCCACATCTGGAAGCAGGGCCTAACAACAATTTCTCTCTGCCCATAAAGAAGCATGGTAAGTCTCTACTGACTTAAGGTATGTGGCCAGCTTTGGAGATAGAAATCAACTGGTGAGAGTGCAGAAACAACCTTACTTATCAACATGTCTCCCAGGAATTAGGACAGTGTCTGGCATAACAGCTAATCAAAATAAAATTAACTGAAAGAAAAATTTTAAAAAGTAAGGCATTATTCTCTATCCCATATATCATAAACAATGAAGACAGCATAGATTTAACATATTTTTACCTGTATGAGATTGAGTCTTTTTCTTTTTTTGTCCTTTTGCATCCAATTTTCCCAGTATCCTAGTATAAAGTAAAAGCTGAGAGCAAAAACCATCTACCCCCACACTCAGTATAGATCCAGAGAATAGAAACCAAACCTTTCTGATCACATAGCATGATCTTGCAATTCCACGGTCTCCATCATCCTGATATCTGCCCAATCCTAATAAAGTCCCCACTTTGAAACACTCTCATTAGATCAAATTTCCAATTCTCAATAAATTTTGACATTGCTTCCCCTCCCCCCCAAGGCATTGCCAAAGCTTTCTTGAGGCGGCAGTCTCCCTTACCTGGGTAAAGAATAAACACTTGGCTTTATCTCAGGTGGTATTGGTGACATTTGAGAAGCCAGTTTTCAACAAAACCTGAGTTTTCTAAGAATAAAAATTTTTTCAAAACTGCAGAGCTCTAAGTAAATATAGATTTCATGACATAGAAAATCATCTGTAATATCTGCGTAACTGACATTATAAATGAGTATATACATTTCTGTTCTGTTTAATTTTTTCATAAATCATGTTAATTTTGATTAATTTATGATAGAACAAAATATCTCCATCATATTCACTTGTGATATAAATGGTTCAAATCCATCAATTTAAATTTTTTACAAGTATAAATTAGGATTTTAGCCCCCAAATAGGAGTTGAAAACAGCATTTTTGTTTTTACTATCTCGTAGCATTTCTTTCAATATATAGATAGTCTTTGAACCAAAAGGTTAAATCCAACTTACTTAATAATGTGGGATCTTACCTTTTCCAGTTTTGAAAGAGCAAGAGAATAACAGTCTTTGGCTCTGAATTGCATAAATCTCTTATTGGCTGGGTGAGTAAGCTCTGTGATAATACTGAGACTGGAAAACAACCTACAATTCAAAAAAAAAATTGCATTACACTAACAATCAGATATGGAATTTTTTTATAACAACATATTTATGAGTGAGTGATTCCTAGCCTTAGGCATAAAATTATAACCAATTACAACAGCAGGCAGTGCCACATAAAATGTTCTGTACAATGTAAGAAAAATGAAACACTATTTTCCAAAGAATATTTTATCAACATTTTAGCACAATATGAAAAATAAATTCAGTAATTTTGCTTTTATTAGACATTTTCTCTCTATGATTATGAAACAGTATAGAAGGGAAACTCATAAAGCTGATTCAAGAAGTTACAAGGTTACTTTGTGAATAATATTGAAACAGAAATTTATATGATGAATAAAACCAACGGGCAAAAATTTCACATGATGAATTTCTTGTCCATTTGATGTCCTATGACTCCCTACTCTCATAGTACACAATTTTTAAATGTCCTATCTTGCTGCAATGAACTTCTGAGAAGAAGAAATATCTTTCTATAAAATTTCATTGTAATGAATTGGGATGAAGGCTAAATAAAGCATTGGTAATGTTGTTCCAAAGGGATCCTGGGAATTTTCATGTCCCATGGCTTTGCACTAGCTTTCTTTCCATTTTGACACCACTCCCCCCTGCCAAATACATACATAAACATGCATACATACACACATGAGATTTTTTTCCCCCAGAGGAAAGGGGCAGAATAATGCCACAATAAGTGCCATTTTATTTTTGCTGCTGTTGATGATCGGATCCTTACCTGATATTGTGCATGACAGGTAGCTTTCCCAGTTTCAGATATTTTGAGATTCTCTGTGGCAACCTCTTCTTGTGATAATCAGTTATAGCCACTTAAAATTCCCCTCTTTAGGTTAAACTCATCCCCTGAATTCAAGGATTAGAACTTACTGAAAATATGCAGGATATAAACAGCCAGTTTGTGGCCCAAAAACAAATTAGCATCTATGACTCTCATTTTATGCCAGTTCCAGGAGTGAGGATACTGTTACTGGAATGCTTTGGTGCTTTATAAAGAAATGTGCTTCTTTTAAGATGGGAGCCCTGTCGCTGAACCCCGTGCTACTGATGAGCTTTTACCTGTGCTCAGGTCTAACTCCCTAATGCTGGTTGATTATCTGCCAGGACTTCTCCCTTCTGCTAGGGACAGTGGGCTTGCCCGATGGCTCCGCACCCTGGAGGGGCCCGCTCTCCAGCCTGTGGCTGAGCCTCTCCTCATTACCTGCCTCTGAGGTCTGTTTCTCCTGGGCTTTTGTCACCATTCCAATTAAGACACTAAACCATCATTAAGAACAGTTTCTTTCAGAGTTATCTGTGAAACTCGTATGCCCTATTAGCTACATAAATAGATTAATATTTGGGATTTACCTAATGAAGGCTTATGTTATCACTGGGCGTTTTGTGAAATCCACTCTTTATAATAGGAAGGAATATAGTCAGTATCATATGGCTTGATCTCCATTTTGAGAACAAATATTATTGTATTTCTTGATCTAGGCAAATCATAGTAAGTGTGACTGAAGTAATGTAAGCAAAACAGCAATCAGAATATATTTTCTTTTGCTGATTTTTAATGTTAAAATATTTTAATTTTATTTGTGCCAAGGACTGCTGTCTCCAATAATTCTGTGACCCTGAGTTGGTTAAGGAAACTCTGAACCTCAGATTCTGTAAAGGTGGGGTGTCTAGACATGGTTTGTGAAACACTTAGCACAGTTTCTGACACACAGTAGGTACTGTTTCTTAGTTGTGGTGGTATTACTATTTTCTTAGATATTTTCCTTCTGTGCTATTTCTGCCTGAAATGTACTTTCTTTCCTGTTTACTTCCCTCCTCAAACTCTATATTTTGAAATCCCAACCATTACTTAAAGTTTCTCTTGAATCTAATTGATATGGAATTTAAAAATATGTTTAAAGTGAGAATCATTTTCTCTACTTTGGCTCCCTGGTATTTGATTTATACCACTTATTACACTGCTTCCTGCCTTATTCATGCTCTAGCTCTCCTATTAAATCACGACATCTAGAAAGACAAAATTTTCCTCTCAGTGCCTACTACTGCATCTTCTATTTCTTTAATTAATCAAACTTTGTTAAAATAAATAATTTCACAATTCTTGTTTGTGCATTTGGGATTCATAGTTGAGTAGATAAATTCTTGGTGAAGAACATGCTGAATTTAATTAGATTAGTTTATGGAGAAACACAGTATTATCCACATTCCACATGACTTTGTTTTGGCAGTTCTATTCTTGTCACTCAAAAGTCACCAATGATAGTGAATTCAATAAGCTAAAGTTCTTTTTAACAGAAAATCTTTAAAATTAGAAGAATGTCCTGACTGGGGGGTGGGGGGAGAATCACTTGGCTTTTTGGCCAGCAAACTCCATTTGGTAGGCCTAGGAAATGCCACCAATTGTCACATCTCATACCATCTGGGAGTTTAAACGTATTGATTTCAGAAATATTTTCAAATAAGTGTCACTAAAGATTTTTTTTAATAATATGGGTTGTCACAGACAATACTCAATAATCTGTGACAACAGAAACTGAAATGAGGAGTGAATAATAGGACCAAAATGGATCAATGAACACCAAGCCCTATAGTCTCATCTGAACTTCTAAAAAGGAATTAACTGACCTAAGGTTCTCCGCCTTGTCTTTCCCCATTTTATCTTCTAGAAGGACAAAAATGTCCATGACATAATATTATCTAAAATTTACAAGGCACTATTCTACAAATTGTTCATATATCAACTCATGTGATCTTCATGACAATAGGTGAGAACCTCCTTCCCTCATGCCTCCACCTGTACCACCTTCTTCCCTGGAAAACGTTGGGGGCATGTGGCTCCAACCTGACTATCTTTTCAGTAACCTTTAGACTTGTGCTGGTCTGTTCCAAGCCATGAGGTGAACTCAGGCCTACATGGCCAGTTCTGTGCTTATCCAGCACGGAGCTTGACCATGGTGCTCATAGGCGGATTTAAGAAGCTCACTATCACCATACACCAATGTCACATCTTCCTACCTGATATTTTGTTCTGTATCTGCCTGACCTCTTTGGATCTTGATAGTTTCTAACTTTTGTTGGAAGTCAAGCAGGCCACAACATTTCTTCAAATTGCAGAAAACTACTCTGTGATTTACCTATAATTACTAGTCTACAGATGAGAAACAGATGTGGCACAGAGAAATCAAATAACAAGTTGTCTAGCTCTCTATCCTGTTCGTGATGCCAATTGTAAAGCTAGGTGACCACAACCATGCCAGTTGTCAGGCTCTTTTACCTGCCAGTAATCCTGCCGACTGGGCCAATTGTTGAGCTAGGGCTGGATCTGGAGCCCACAGACCCCTCAAGCCTGTTCACAGACTAGGTCACAAACCCTTCATATGCCAGGCTGGGTCACCAGACCCCACACACACCAGGCTGGGTCACCAGACCCCTTCACGCAGGTCTATGAGCTAGGTAACTGGCCAAAAGGTCCTTGGAACCATAGGCTGGAAAGCATGGCTGCGTGGGGCGGAAGCCCAAGGCCAACGCCCACCTGCCTGCTTCACTAAAACTCTCTCTCTCTCTCTCTCTCCTTTCTCTCTCTCTCTCTGTCTACTCTCTCTCGCTCTCTAAAGAAGAACACAAGAATAGCAACAAAACTAAAAAGATACATTGGTGCACATGTGCACTAACTTCAAAGCACACACACACACACACACACAGAGTTTGCTTACAGTGGATGTGCTGCTGAACCACACCCAACTGTATCCAAGGTGAGGGCCCTGACCTCACAAGTTCCCAACACAAGTTCAAGTTAACATTCTACTGGACAGCAGAGCCTGAGCCACACCCCAGCATTCAGGTTCTAAAGACTCCCCTTAACATTATAATAAAGAGGTAGGTAGACCATTGGAAAGGAAACTCACATGACCCAAGTAAAATAACAAATCACTAAGAATGTCTAGTAACATGCTGGGGTTTTGTATATTAAAAATCAACTCTATTTTTAAAATATAGTATTTTGTAAACTCTACCTCCCTGTCTAACCCCTAAATAGTGATTGTTAGGTCATAACTTCATTATTTTTATTTTTATTTATTGATAGCAATATTTAATATTTAATTTAACAAATATTACAATGTGTACAAATATTACTATTCACAAACTCCGGTCTCCAGGAGAGACAAAGATGTACCAAGTGAAATTCCTGCCTTTAAACACATTATGACCGAGTAGAAGAAACAGCAAAAATTCACAACTTATAAGGCCATATATATTTTTGTTGGGGTGATGAATTATGGTTGACTGAATGTTCCTGGATTAAGTAGAATGAAGACACTAGTGAATGGGCAGCTTGTGAAGAACACGTAGGACAGTACTGAATTATAAGATCAAAGAAGAAATTTATGAGGAAAACACAGCTACAAACTAATGAAAACCTATTTCATCTTTTGGAACATTTTTATTTTTCCTTAGAAATACGGCTTTTGTCTTTAATATATGCCATTATTCTCACTTTGAATAAATTTGTGATGACTTGGATTCTTTTGTTTATAATACTTTTCTAAAACACACTGTATCAAATAGGAATATGTACATAAATGTAGGTAGATGCATTTTGGGTCTTAGTAAAAGTGAGTGAAAATATGATTGAGTGATGTAGCCATTGTATTTGAGGGACTTCTAGAGTTGAAATTACATAGGACAACAAAATTTATGTGATGTGCCTGCCATTTCTGTTCTATAGAAGTGAACCTACACCATTGATGTTATTTAATACTGAGAAACTGAATGCATTGGCTAAGCCTGCCACCTAGTGAAAATCTAGAACTAAGTAGTACTTATATAATAAAAAATTGTATTGCCGTGTCTTTTATACCTACAGAGTATTACTTATATTTAATTATTTTACTTTTACAAATTTGGTCATCTGATATATTTAATTATGTATCTTTGAGACATTAATACTGCAAATCTATTTCTGCACC